TTGTCCCCCCCCCCCCGAACAGTGAAACTACATAATGTTGCTGCTTTTTTTTTTTTTCGTTTTTAAGAGCAAAAGGGAAAGTTAATAAGTAGAAGCGACAGTTATTCTGAGAATCATAATAGATTACCCATACGGATTTAGACTTAAATGAAACTGTTTATTTTGGTGGAGAAAGTAAGTAACACCTAAAGTAAATCTTTTGGTTTGTGCAGGTTACTCTTGCGAAAGAGAACTCTTAAAAACAAGTTGTCTGATTGCTTAACCTCAATCTTATCAACGCAGGAGTTTAAGAGGACAAAAACATCACTCAATGTAAACTACAGAGAAAGCTATTACATATTTCCTGAAATCTTATTTTTGTATGCTTACGAAGGCGAATAGTAGCCTAGCTAAACTTTAACATTTCTGTTTTCTATTCGGCATTTAAAATTTTTTTTGCCAAATGAAAGTACCTAGTGACATTTTATTTTATAGTTGTTTATAAGAAGAGCATATAGTAGGCTATAAACACTACTATTATCTTGTAGTGTTTTCCACAGTTTAAACGGATCCTGTCAGTTCTCGCGCCACGCGCCGTCTGTTCTTTCTCTCCCCGCGCGCGTGGCGCGAGAACTGACAGGACTCACTGACAAGCAAGTTGTTTACATTTTATCTATCCATACATTGAGTCAAATTACCATTTAATCGTATTTTAATAACATATTTGCTTATTGTGAAATTGCGATAAAAGTGTAGAATAATGTTTTTCGCTGGCCTGTTCCTAGATTTTAGCAAACAGTCACCAAAGAAGCGAAGCGCAAGCTGGAAAAAGTGAGAGATCGCTTGTAGTTCAAATGTATCGATACGTTTTAGCTGATAAATAATTTACTCGCATATGCTTGCTAATGGTTACCTTTATTCTAGCTGTTCGGAAACGGTAGGTTGTCAGTCATGACAGAAGTTTTCACAGTTGTGTTTATAGTTGGTTGTGTTATGTTAGTGTTTGTTGTGTTCATGTTTTCTTTTGCCACTTGATATTTTGGTGACGCTGACTTCACTCAACTGCATTTATTATTAGTATTATTATTATTTTTACATGAACTGTGTAAAACCATAAGTGTTTATCGCTCCATGTGTCTTTGATTGCAACAAATTAAATGCTGCACCACTATTTAGACTAAAATATATAGCCTAGCCTATGGTTGAGCGGCAGGTAATCACATCTGAGGTGCTATTACTTTTATATGACAGGTCTGTTAACAAGACATTTGAATAATTTACATTTAAGAAAATTTTGCCATTCATATTTTTTTTTTTTTTTTCTCGTCAATGAAAATAGTTCCAAAATAAGTAAAAAAAAAAATCAAGCTTTGTGTCACCCATCAAAGCACAGACTCCACAAGCCTTCAGATTTTCACCCTTAAATATGAATCACATTTTTGAAATGTTATAAACAGTATGAAATGGACTTAAAGGCAGAGTAAGTGATTTTTCAAAAACACTTTAGAAAACTGATTCGGGCCGAATCGCAAAACAAACTTGTAGCCAATCGGCAATAAGTTGGTAGGGGCGTGTTTGTTTTGGTGATTTCAAATATCAACATTGGCTACCAGAAATCACTTACTCTGCCTTTAAGGACAGTTCAAAACTGACAATTCAAAACCTTTGTTTTCTGTGCACCTACTCACTGCCTCTCAGTGTCTGTTAGCGGTGCAGCTTTGGAAACCTCTTCAAAAACTGGCTGGACCACAGAGCGCCACTCTCATAATTTAAAATGTTCTGTTTGTGCTGTTGCAATTTTTTTTTTTAATTCTTTATTTTATTTTTATTTTTTTTACACATCCATTTAGAATGATGTGTTCTGTGTGCGATACCTGCACTTTGTCCTACAAGTAATGCAGTTGGGTCCCCACTTTCATTGTGCTTTTCATTGTACTGTATGGAAAAAAAAAATCTAAATATTTTCAAAAACATGACATTTATGACTCAAAATGCTTTCTGGAACTGAAGCCTCACAAAGAAAAGATGGCAGCATCCAGTTTGAGTTCTTCCTGGGCTTCGTGCGCCAACCAAGCAACTGCCATTGAGATGAATTGGAATGCTAAGGGATAGCTCTCTCCAGGTGTTATAGACTTTTTAAAATCTAAATCAGCTTAATTGAGCGGATAACCAGCCAAGTTGGCCACACTGGTTGCTTCTACATCAGAGATGTGTATCTGGACTCAACATCTGCTTTGTCCTGATAAAAACTCTGAATTATCTATGAAGAGTGAACACATGTTTACTATGTTTGTAATGCAAACATAAATCCATCCAGACTGTTTTAATGCTTGAGGGGACCTGAAGTGGCCGTCAACCATCTGATGCATTCAGACATTTACAGGTTCTTCTGTTGGCTACAGCATCACATATTTCAAGATAAGATAGTATTTCATAATAAGCAATTAAGTACTAGAGAAAAGGTCTTTCAGTTCACAGGGTATAAACCTCAAGGCATGCTATACTTGAATAATTTTCAGTAATTTACAACTTATTCAAATTCACATGCTAGGATATTGACAGTATGTGACACAATGGTGTTGTTTCACTCTTATTTTCCCCATTCATTGAAATCCAGACCTCCACACAATGCCTTAGGTGCACAGGCCTTGTCTGTCATGGATTTTGCTTATTATAGACCTTCAAGACAAGTTATATCTTGCATTTGCATCACTTTTTGTCAGCTGAACATGAAGGCTGAGTCTCCTTTGTGGTCTAGTGATGGCAATGTGTGTAACTGAGGCCTTACTGTTGTTCTTTATATGGGCATAAAGTTATCCACATGCCCTGATGGCATCATCCTTTTTCCATGGGCGTAGAAGCCATTTTTATTTTCTTGACTTCGCCAAATTTAGAGAACATTCATGTTTGGGCCTTGTCAATACAGTGAACATGCACACAAAAAGTAACAAATGTGGTTTATCTTATCACATCCAAACAAGTTCCAAAAGCCAAATGTAAACCCAGAGCTTCAGATTAACACATGTGAGCGATGGCACTGGTGCAACCAAGTCCTACAGACAGTAGCAGGAGACAAAACATAAGTAAACAAACCCACTGCACATAATTGGTCTGTGCTGTACTGTTCCTTTTGGGTTGTAATTTCATAGTCACAAAATTTAGTCGCACCAGCATGAAAAATGGTTTCCTTTTGTGCACTCAAAAAATATTTAAGCCTAAATTTAAGAGTCATGTATTTGGATTGAATATAAAATTTCCATGCATTTGGATTACATTGTTTTAACATAAATTAATACTTGTAATGCATATTCTCAGTCATACATAAATGAAAGCGGGTAAGAAACATGTAAGCATCCTGCATTCAAAAAAGCATGGCATAGTTTATTATTAACTAATTGATATTAACTATCTCCTTGAGTGTAAGGTTTTGCTAATTGTTGGAAAAGTTTAATTTTAGTGTGTAAGCAATCGTAAAAAACTGTAAATGATCATATCTCCTAGCATATTCATATATATATATATATAGATATATATATAGATATTATATGTGTGTGTGTGGGGGGGGTGTGGATGAAGAAAAAAAAGACTGCTTTTTAGACATTGCTTGTGCTTTTTTTCAGCCTTTATTCACAATCTTAAGTAGGGACTTAACAGTCAGTGCATGGATGTGAACAAGAATCATTTATTTATAAGATTTGTTCACTACCAGTCTGAAGGAATGGATGCAAACTACTACAAACCCTAACTGAGGGAACTATAAGAATAGTTCATGCTTTAATCAATATCTGTGCCTCTGTTCCTGGAGTGTAGATGCTGTGGGCAGATATACCACATTGTGAGGTGGGAAGCATCACATTAAGTAGTGTGTGTGTGTGTGTGTGATTTTAGCACAATGTTTATTGTTGTTTTTCACCCTTGTGAATGCAGTTTTCTCATTGCTACTAGTCTGTGCCTAATATCTAGGATTTTTTAGATAGTTTTTAGCACAGCAGTTTACTCAGCGTATTGTGCTACTGTATTAAAAATGGAATAAGTTCTCCCATTAAAAGCAGCACAGAGGATGTTTTAAAAAGATCTTTCCCTGTCTGCTGAATCATAAGACCAAATCAGGTGACAGAGCAAAGGGTACGTGTGTAGAGGGGAAGATTGCATCCTCTGTACCAGGCATTCTGTCTAGACACTGCTCATTTTTTCCATTACAGTATGTCAAACAGAAAGAGCATTTGAGCCAAATAAAAATGTCATAGTTGTATTCACTGTGCTTTGTTCATATTGCACCCAATTCCGATTTGTTTCTCAAATCCAATCTTTTGGAATGACTGCACAATATAAAATTGCTGACTTATACATCCGTACAATACCAAGAGACGTAAGAGAGTAGCTGTCAGTGTGGAAAGAGAAGAGAGCAGAAAAGTCCATCACAACATCTTGCTGTGGTGCTGAAGTGACTGTAATCATCTACTACAATTTTTTTTATCTGACCTTTTGCCTGAAACTCATTCTCCACTCCAATTTAATAAGATTTCAGTTCACATTCTAGGTTGGATTTGTCTGTAAAAAAAAATAAATAA